TTGCATCAAAATGTCAGTTCATCCATTTCAATACAAGAATTGTGGTATATTAGAAACAAGCTCATCAGTGTTAACGCCAGAAGTGTGGTGTGGAACTATGAAGAAACACAACTTTGTCGATAAGTGTAATGTGATACTATTTATTTGGTGTTTTCAACCATGACGGCACCTAATGCGACACCCGGATTAAACGGCTAGATAAAATCCCCCAAAATTTGGGCTAAACCATCTCTATTTTAAAATTGCTGAACAGAGGAACGGCAAATAATCAGCAAAGTGCAGAGTATGCTCAGCGACACGCCGTGGCTCGAACTTTGGACCTTGTTCACCGCAGCCCGCCATGCCCAACCCGGCGTGATACTAAAAGGATGCTCATCTCTGCCAATACCATATTTTTTTTTCTCACTAAAAACAATACTCGTGGAGAATGTGTGTTAACAATTTAGATAGAGACTGACTGAAATAGAAAGGCAGGTAATATTTATTATTTATGTATGTTGTTGTTTAGAAACATTTTCCCTCAATCTATACTACATAGTTTCGTCGAAATTATTGGTGATTATCATTTTAAAAAAGAACAAATGAGCGAATAAATTACCATTACCTGCGTAAGAGAAATAATTGGATAACAACATTGTTTTATTTGAACATGTTGGCCCACGTACTATTTGCAACGTACTATTATTTACGGTTCTTTAGAAAATGGTTAAAAAGATAAACCTCTCTTTGTCAGGTATCTCTCGGGGTGATACATATTTGAATACAAAGCCGGCATCCAATCACAATATGTAAACACAAACAACACACTGATTTATACCTCCGCTAAGCTAGTCGTATGCATATCATCAGTATTAAATTATTGTCAGGTATCTCTCGGGGTGATACATATTTGAATACAAAGCCGGCATCCAATCACAATATGTAAACACAAACAACACACTGATTTATACCTCCGCTAAGCTAGTCGTATGCATATCATCAGTATTAAATTATTGCATTGAATTACTCGCCTTAGCAAGAGAAGAATTTCAAAGTGACTGATGTGTCCCGTGTTGATACAGTTTTCTCTGTTTTTCGAAGTAATCGTAAGACTCAAGCAAGAACAAAAGAACCTGTTACAGCAATTATAAAAATTTTGTACGAACTACAGTCAATATTTTTACACTTGTTATAAAATAAGAAATACTACGGTGTTTCGTTTCGAACTTCGTTGCATTATATTGTACCAAATGTTTCAAACTACGCTGCAAACCTTCAGCAATTTATATTAGCAAATTTCTCAACTGTCGCTTCCAAAATCAGGTGTAATATGACCACACGCAACTTCAAGCGTTTCATAATTTTTTTTCAACACTGTCTTTGAGACTAGTGATTGAATCTGTTTGGAAGACTTATTATCGGATGCCTATATTTGGAATTATCATATTACCGTAGGACACGTCTTTCATCGATCACTATGAGACAAAAGTCTAGTTTTTAACTGGTTTCATCACTTGATACAAGTCACTTAAACTACACATTATGCTGGAAAATTCACGCGAAATCAACATTATTGTTGTGTTTCTTTAAAGTTTAATTTACATAACTTCGATAACTAACTGGTCTAAATAGAATACAATGAATTCTAACAATCTTTTTTCCGATTACTATTATATGAAAAAACCAACTATTGTATTACCATACGACACTAATTTATTTTAATTCATTGTCCAAACACCTTTAAGCCTGTATATAACCGCTGTTCAAGTGTTTTTGGAAATAACTAACAACAAACTAACATTAACAATTGTGGATTAGAATTGATGCGTTAAATATTTGTACGACATAACTAAATGAAAACTATGCCATCGAAAATTTACCTAGCCTAATCAAACAAAAAGTCGAATGGATAACAGTTGTCTTTAAAAGCGTTAAAGGCTTTGGAACAACATGTGGTAAACGAGAACACAGGCTGGATGATAGTACGGACCGTTGAATCAGACCAAACAACTACTAATCTGACAAAAATCACGGCACACACCAATGAATAGATACAAAACCACGTCTGAGTATACACACCAATCCCTTTTTGCAATTTTTTTTTTTCAAATACATGCCTACAGAGGTAAGTCCTACGGTATTTTACCGTGTCGAGAAATAGGTGGTGTTTTTCGGAAAATCTGAAATGTAATCAGATAGCTTTAGAACATTGGAAGCTTTTAGAGGCAAAAAATAGAGAGAAAACATTAAAAAAACAGTTTCGTGCGCGTGTTGAGGAAGTCCTTTGTACGGCTTCTATGTCGATACTCCTAGTTTGTTCTTCGTTAAACAACTCATTGCATTAAACTAGTAACGAACTCTTTCAGAGATCCCGTTCATTGTTTTCTTCCAAATGAGTTACAGGAAACTGTACATTGACGAATCAAACGTCCAGGGCAATCTATTAATGCGTGTTTTACATCTGGTGTGTTGTTTTTGAATAATGTACACACAAAAAGTTCATGCGCCACTAGATGGCCATTAATAGTTTCCCATGGAAAACATGTTGTTTTCCTATTCCACCAATAAACTATTCTAATGGAAACAGAGCATCACAAATAGTGGCACGGAAAAGTGAAGTACTGGAGGACTACAAGTTAATTTTTGGAATAATTTTCTTATTGCACATGAGATATTTGGCCTTTTAGGATGAAACCTCAGTCTACTATAACCAAGCGTCTAGTAGATTAGGAGTTTGTAACTTATTCAACATCCACTGGATATCTCAATAACTGACCTCTCTAACCTTCCTGCGTCAGTCCTTGAAAATAACCGAAATAAATGCCACAGTAACCAACTTGTACAACATTCCCGAAGAATCAACAATCATAATAAATTAAACAGTTCGGTAACCAAGTCTGGATCAAGAACTAGAATACATTTGAACTAAATGCTTTGACAAACTTATCTACCATTCCAAAATGAACAGCGAGAATGGACTGGATTAAATGCCTCAGTAAATATTGTATCCAACAGACCAAGATCAACTCCAAAATTGCACAGGGTTAAGTAACAAGCTTACCAGCTGTGAGCGCCTTACCTACTATCTAGATGTCTTAGCTTCAGAGTTGGTATACCTTTCTTTCCTTATTCTTATCTTAAAAATGAAAAACAAAAAAAAAGTGTATTTAATGCTCTAATTCCATTACTCGGAGTCCACAGCGTGACAGATAATGCACAGTCATCATATAAGATAGACACAAGTATTGCTCCGGTACACACACACACACTATACAACAAAGATAACGGTAGGAAGGGGGGGGGGGGGTATGTTACTGCAAGACTAATTACATTTCAATTGTACAAGTGTTGCAAATTTGTGCCAATATTTAGCTATGATGATTGCATAGTTTTCAACAACACGTAAAAAACTAAAATAAAATCACAAGAGACTATCTAATTACGTTCACATACTCGGGCTTTTAAGTGCCAACTATGGAGGATGAACAATAGATCACGATGGACGTACGAAAATTAAACAAAATGTTAAATAAAAGTCACAACAAATTAACCACGAGCACAAACAGACGAGCCTTTAAAAATGAAGGCCTGGCAAATTTTGTCTAGATAGTAAGCTGTTCTTCTGCTATACCTTAGTAATTATAAAGTGCAGGAGAGACAAAGTAATTGCATTGCTACGCTACTTATTAGTACAACACAAGGCATGGATAAGGTAAAGCTAAGTATTGTCAGTGTGTCACGTTTCAACTGCTCATCTTGTACAACCATAAATATAAAGTAATTCATCTCCGAAAAAAAAAATAGAAATCTTTCCTCTATGCTAATTTTTAAAAAATTCAATCAGCATTACTTCCTCAAAGCAATGAATAATATTATGTACAATCAATTAGAACGACTGTTTCAATTACATTATCTTACATTTGACCCATTAAATCCTAAGCAATACACAACTAGGACAAGGATGTGATAAGGCAATCCTTTTTCACTACTATATTAGAGGGTTGATAACCGGCCAATGACATGTAAACTGTCTCCGAAATAGAGAATAGAATAGATGGTTGAGGTAGAGCCTCTAAGACTTCAGCTTACCCACCCTCAAATTACAGATTATGATGTACTGTAATGTTCGCTGTGGAAAATAAAATGTGCTGGTAAACGTATATGTCAACACGAAAAATATAAAACACCAAAAACCTGTTCGGGGAAGTTGGTTTAACACTCTATATACAAAGGGCTGTTCACTACAATAGTCGCATTAGTCGCACCTGACAAACCCTGCCTTTTCACTTGAATCACGTGGGCAGAGCTTCAGTAGCTATGGCGGCGATTATATTTTGTAAAGAACAATGAAGTTTAAATTTAATCAGAACTCCTATGGTTCATTAAACTCTAACCAAGGTCAGATATTTATGAAACGATGACCACGAGAACAACGAGTTACTACTGAACATCAATGTGTAAACAGGTGTTACTGGAAATACGTTTATGGAAGACGAAAACGAAGATGTCGAAATGTTTTCGTGCATAACTGACACAACTTAAATGAAACTGGTTATTATTATGTGACAAGTAAACTTTTATAATTACACCCGCAGCACGAACAACGACAAATAATGCAAAAAAGTACGCACGAGAGAAACCCCTTTATCAATAACATTTTTTCGATATATCGTCCTAGTGTTTCTGATATTGAGAGTATTTTGCAACGAAAAATTTAGTTAAGCGTTGTAATTAAAAACAAAAGTTTTCAATACACAGTTATGATCCGAACGTAGGTTGGCGGATCGTATTATTCACAACTTCAAAATCACTAAGCGGCATCTGGTGTCAGATCCAGTAGAACTAATGAGTACTGGTGGACTAATCTTGATTTTTGCCTTCACGTATGCAATTTAAGCACAATAACGTTTAGAAAGCTTCTGATGTCACGCTTAAGTTCTGCATCGATGTATTAAACTTAGGGTCAGATATTTGTTAAAAGTCGACCAACATTGTGTTGTTGCTTTATTTCACACTTTTGAATATGTTCCAAAGGTTAAAAACAGAAAAGCATGACAACCAGTAGATGATATAAATACAATAGTTGCTGAACTAAAGGAGCTATTATACTTTTAATGCATAACTACGATTAAAAATAATAACTTTTTGTTAATGCTTTAGAAATAAACTGTGGACGGAATCACATAAAGAAAAGTGCCATTTATCAATACAGATTTCTATACAACTTGAATATAAATATTTTTGAGTAAGTCTATAAGTTAAAAATTTTATACATATATACAAAATAAATAAATAAATTAAACTATGAAAACATATCACTTGCTACAAAGGAGCTGGAAACAAATTCCCACCAGGGGACGCTCCAGCCTAAGATATCTCTACGATATTTTCAAAAGGTGTCTGAAAAGCTCCCAAATGTAAGTAATACTCTTCAAGTAATCGCGGAGAATGAGGTAGTCCCTTAAGTTCCGCTTACTCTCCTCTGGAATATCCCTGTACTCTGTGGACATGACGTTTTTCATCACGTCTGGATTTTGTCTGATCTTTAAAGTGTACATGCCCAACTGAAGCTCACATAACACCTCTCGAATCCTGTTTTCTACTTCTTGGAAGTGATCAAGAAACTGTCCACTCTCTGGATGAAGAACTTGGTCCATCTTCATCTCATCCACCCCTACAGCATAGTACTGCAGGTATTCGAACGCTTTTTTGTAGGCTTCTTTAACCTGTTTGTAAATAATTTCAGTTACTTTAACACATTTTTTAGGAAGCATTTTAAACTTTCAACGACAACTCAAAACATAAACACACATGTCAAAGACAGAGAGCCTCTGGGGCTTCACTTACGATGTATAAGAGACAGTTAACATTTTGACATACAATAGACAACTGTACAGCGAGTGTTTATTCAAGTAGATTTACCACTTCCAAATATTTGATCAAGCCTCTTACATCTATGTTGGAGTGTACAAGTTTTAGTTTCTACCATCATCCAAAATGAAAAAGACAAACATAATGCGGACTTTTTTTCTACTAATGGGATGCTACTGGCATAACTCGTGAATGATGCATGGCAATTTGTATTAAGAATCCATAAGCAACGTTACGCTTCACAAATTAATGGTTAAAGTAAAAAAAAAGTTTCAACGCTCTACCTCTTTAAAGACTGATTGTATAGGAATCATACACTAAAAATTCGTTCCTTTCTAAATTGACCGACTGCATGAAAATCATATGCTAGAAGAGCGTCCTTTTTTTTTTAATAAACCCTCTACATGAGAATCATATGCTAAAAAAACCCTTTCTAAATTGACCGACTGCATAAGAATCATACGCTAAAAACAACTCCTTTTATAAGTTTTACAAATTTAGAACTAGACTGAAAAAGGCAAGAAACTGTCATTCTGCCAACTATTGTGTATTAGAATAATAAAGGGGGGTAACATGCATGAAATGTTAAAATGAGTTATATTATCGAGAATACAGTTTTACATAATTTTGTTTTTCAAACCGTGTCTCGATCACCATCGACCATTGTTTTCCAGTAAAACTACACAAGGTCATAAATATTAAATAAAAAAGGAAACCTCAAGTCAATGACTAAATGATTCTCCTTATACCAAAACCATCAATTGCTGTAGTTGATATACTGACATACAAGAACATACGTTGCTACTAAGCCTGATGTTTTAAAACGTTCCTTTAATTGTGTCAAGTCTGCGTGCTCACGAAATCCATTTAAAAGAAAGAGGTCAATGGCACGGGCTTATTTGAATTAGAAAGACATTTGCAGCAATCTGAATCTAGTGTAAAAAAAAAAGTTGATGATGCAATTTCGGAGCATCACACACATACAACAAAGCGCCCTCTGTAAACTCAGTTATTTTCTGCATCATGTCACGCAAATTACAATTACAAAAAAATTACAAAAATAGCACATGACACGCAAGGCGATGCAATGTTCAAACTCAACATGGCTGAAACTTTAGAATTTGCTCCTACAGGTCTAGTTTGACACAGGTATCTCTCTTATCGTGATTAGGTATGTTGTTTTTAGTGTTCAACTGAAACTGTCAGTAGGTTAGTGTACACTTCCCGTTAACATAAAAAACACAATTATAGAATAACTTCAGATCAGCGTGTGCAGGAAACTAATATGAACTTATTGGTAATTGAATAATCCCAAGAGAAACAAATATCACACAGAAAAAAATAATTTATAAATATCTAGCCAAGTTCGAAAACAAATTGACGCAACATTTGCAATAGAAGCCACATCAGAGAAGAATATACGCTATAGATTTAAAATGTAAACAACCTAAAAAAAATCTGCGTGCTATACTTAAGTTTAAAGTTTTCGTCAACACAATTATACAACATAGACGCCAACTACAAAAAGAGGTTTAAAGTGAAAACACTTACATCTATTCCCCCAAAGTGATCCTCGGAGGTGGGTGGAATAACGGGCAGCCACTCTTGCCGCATATAGTCCACGTTAAAGGCAGAGTCTTTGAACACTTCCTTTCTCTGTAATAGATTTCAAGATGACAAATGAATAATAAGTTCTCTCTCATATAGTGAACTACACTTACAACCGTGATAACTTATGAGTGAAAATAAAAATAGAATGTAATGATATGTCAACCACAATATATCTGCTATTTCCAGTACTGACGAGGCCTTTTCACACAATACTAGGGCTCATCAGGCCTGATGGGATACGACAGACATCGTTGTGATCTGGAAGATCTTTATATTATCAACTGCTTGAGACTTGACAAAACTGGGAGCACGATAAACTATGATTTTCTCATGAAGAGAGTCTGTGGAAGTTTCTTTAACATTACATGAGCATAAATCACAAATTATCAATGTACTTGTATAAAATTGGTTACGATAAAACTCTGAATTTTACATAAACCAAGTTCATAAAAGCGCCCTCAACATATATTTACCAAATGACTGCAGACTGTGATCAAACTCTGCTTCATTTGTTGTTTTTAGTAGAATATAATATATGCATGACATCACGCTTAATAACACTAGTTTCTTGTAAACTATTTCCGGCTTCGACTTAACTAGAAATACAGCCCTAACCCCAAGAAACGTTGTTGAGATCTGTATTCAGTTCCGTTTACAGCCTTCAAACCACACATTTTAAAATTCGTTTTGATGCATTAATATTTAAATAACATTAGATACACAGATTAGAGCCTTTGTTAGTAATAGAAAGAACGTCACTTCCGGTTATAAAATACATATAAAAACCTATTTTCTTTTGGTGAAAAACCTTTGACGGAATCCAACATTTTTTTTTATCCAAGTGCAACATTATTTTATTGCTATTACTTTGTAACTGTATAAAAAGTATAATTCAAAATACTATCACGTAAACCAGAGCAATATTTATTTTTATTCTTTTCAAATTGGAGTCTGAGTTTTTTTTGTGTGTGTGTGTGTTTTTTTTTTGTCTGTCAAGCTGTCAGGGTTACATATGATTGCAGGTTCTACTGACCCACTGTACTGTGATATGCTTTGCTAACGTAGCCTAAGCAGAGCCTTTACGCATAATCAATTAGCAGAAGGAAAACAAATAAAATTCTACAGATATGTCTTGGTAATCAGTGAAATCAAATTCTTCCCATTGTTAATTTTACTTCCAGGCACGTGCGCATAATACATTAAAAGAAGTTATGTCCGTTAAAAAAAAATATATTCGACAACATATCTTTGCGTTACTAGAGTACAGTGAGAGTTGTTTTTGTACGTCTGACAAGTTAAAACTCGCTATAACGTATCAAGTATTTAAAAAAACTTATCAGAATCTAGTGTTATCGGAGTAGCAGTAAGCCTGAAAAATTTTTTTTTTCTCTTTTAAAGACCGAAATGGACAATTTGAGAAGTTGGAGGTTTCACTTTCGTTTTTATTCGGTTACGTGTTTATTATGATAGTTACACGATGACTAAAGCATATTAGACAGGATTTCTCCGCTATTTAAGAGGGAAAATAAGAAATTAAATTCAAGCTTCCCAAACGCAGAAAAGCAGGAACCATAAAAACGCATTTATCAGAACTCAACTGTATGAAAAATTTGCCCTTTGTTGTTGTTGTTTTTGAAAATTACAGGCCACTTCATACTAATTTTGGTTCTACAAACTGCTGATAAGCAGTACTGTGTTTTAGAGAAGAAAATGCAATACGTAAGTTTACTCCGTTCGAGTGGATTGTTTGACTACAATGCCATTTTTCGATTTGATTCCCAAAAGATAACATCGAAACATGACGTGTTTAATTTATGGTATGATATTTGTCATTCGTGGGTGATTGATAAAACGGAAATGATTATCTGAAAACAAACAGTACAAGTACCCAGGTGAGAAGTGGACTGTCTTCTAGCGTGCCAAAAAACCAGTGAATGTATCCTCCCACGCAGTAAATCCGAGAGAGTGAAATGGGCCAGTGCATGCAAGATGCTGCAACATCCTGTACCTGTAGCAGAAGATGTTTCCATTTCCAATCAGGATCTAATATGACAAACGTCAGAGCCGCTCGACACTTCCCTAATCATATAACGAACGTCATCACTTCGCACCTAGTAGCTTGCTAGTCAGCAGCTCTTCAAAATAGTGACGGCCCGTTTCGAAATCACAGTAGTGTTTACAAGCTCGGACCTGCCCAGTTTGGTAATATCTCTCGTGTGTGGCAGAAGATGATTCAAATTTCATTTCATAAAACATCTGTAAATATACTGTTAACTGACTCGTTTTTTGTTGTTGTTGTTTTATAGAATCACAGCAAACCCAAGAATGGAATTAATCAGGCCTACATTTCATCTAAAATAGATTAAAAGTAATCTGCTATCACTTTAGAGAAAGAATAAAGGTAAATTTGAACGTAATTTTTTTATGACACGTTTACAGTTTCCTTCCAGTGTCATTAAATGTTAAATTACTCAGACTTTTTTGCTTGTTTGTTTTTCACAAGACATACTAACTCGGTGAAAAACCTTTTCCCTCTCATCGGACAGCATTTTTCAATACGTGCCACATGATCTACCCCACAGTAACAGTTTATCTCTGGAGAAAAAAGCCTGTGCCCCGAATGATAGTTTAATTTTCAACATGCATAACCGCGAAATATGATTAACACCAGTGTTAAGTTTACAAACAACACACTTTTTTAAGCTATGCCTAACTTATGCAAGGTATGGAACTCAAACATACATGACTTCTTCCATTTGTAGATTTAAGTAGCTTTGCTAGAGAAACACTGAAGCGGAAAAAGTTTTAAAAATTCACTTAAGAGTCTTTAATATTCTGGAGCGTCAGTTTGTTTTGTCCCAAACTAATGTTCTCAGGTAAAGCTTCTTAACCTCTTAAAAAGTTACTAAATAACAGAAAACTCATTACACACAAGAATTGACGGCAAAAAAACCGCTCATTAAATTAAACAGGACTGTCTGGTCACTGTGTTGTGTGTGTGTGTGTGTGCGCGCGCTTGCGCACGCATGGGCATCTCTTAATTGGATTTCACTCTTTCTGGGTTATTAGCACGGAAATAACCGAGCTTATCTACACAAGTGGAGAGATCTTCCAAAGTAAAAAAGGCTCGCGTTTCTTGCTTTTCACTAACTACTTAGGTATATAAATCTAATGCTCAACCATACAAACCAAAACCGAAATTTTCGCTTCTTGGATATTCATGTGGAAGTTTTGTCAATGTTCTGTTGTAAATACAGTTCTCAAGTTGGGGAGGGTACGTATCCTGAGGGTCTATGGGATTTATTTGTTTTTGTTTGGGGGGGGGGGTGTTAGCGCCTAAATTATTTACTGCAACAAATGATGCCACTGTAGTAAGTGCAATACAGTGAGCACTCACACGTTCGACTATTTTGACTGAACATTTCTGCCAGACTAATTGTTTGCCTGTGTTCCACTGAACCCTAAATATGAGACGTCAAAGTACATATCTGAAAATACTGTATTTCTTAAAAAACAGCCATCATTCGGGAGGTACTTTATTTGTGGTTTTTGTGGTTCTCACACAGCGGAGGGGGTGCGGAGACGTCAACGATCTAATTATAATGAGTGATCGTCTTATAGAATCTTATCCTTCCAGATATTTACTGGTTAGGTAATACGTATGTGCTCCCTCTAGCTGTTATGCATCCATTACCTATCTATACATGTATCGTTGTTTTAATGGACGTTGTATATATGCTACGACTAGCGTTGTAAAGATAACTACTTAACTACTACACAGTGAAATATTTCAAGGCTTCGATTCGTCGTTTTCGAAAACACACTAAAATTACGTTTGGACGACGATAACAATGCCCTATCGTAAACAGCAGGTAGAGTATCAGATTAGCTTATTCAGTGGCGATAATCGAAGCTCTCAACACGACCTTGGTTCGTTTCCTATATTAATGCCGAGTATATATTAGTGCCTATACGAAACCCTGAACATTCCATTCTTGGCCATCACATAAGGAGACTTAAGTTTAAGAGGGGGTTAGTCTGCCTTATATGTCAAACCTGCCTGCAGCTTCAAGTCTGCCTCGGCACTACGCTCACTGTGTGAAAGAAGGATAGACAGATTCTTTCCCAGTTCACCTTCCTGTTCCACACCTGAAGTTTTGGTTCCAAAAGAGCCGAGATCGGACCGGTTTTCAGTCACAGAAAATGAAGGGCTGTCCAACAATCAGACTGTCTAGTCTAGTCACGTATACAGGCTTGTGTCGGGGCGCTCTTACACTTTTTAATCTAGTCTGTTGTCTACGTGCAAATATATACGATCCAGATGATAAAAACCGAAGTATTCGATGAGTAATACGCACTCTCACGAAACGTGTTTATATCAAATATTTAACTGCGAAATGCTTCAACTTGTACGTAGCTTACAGGATTCTCTGCTTGAAAGCCAATTACCTTTCCAAAAACGACTCGTATGAAGTCCAAGCTAAATAAAACGATACGACTGTTCGAATACTGTCATTTGTCGATTAGGAGATGACTGGTGAATCAAACAATATTTGAAAGCCACGTACAAGTACCAGACCACCATACATTTGTTACTCACACTTTAAACTCATAAAGTACATGTACAGAGAGAGAGGGAGAAAAAAACACACAAAAACTCCATAATTTGTGATATCAAAGAAACATTTTCACCATTAATACTTACATTGAAATTAGATTATTTTTATGATTAACGCCAGTACCTTCACGTATTAACATAGTCCTAGCTACACGACTGCAAACGCCGAAAGTTCACTAGTTACATAAAATTAAATGCTGTTGGTCTATGTTCTACTGATAACTAGAACACGTTTGTATTTTAGTAGTTACCAAATGCTACAGCGGGTACATGTCAAAGAAATTCTGCATTTTGCAGCATTACACGCTTCATACAATATGATCTCGTAGTGGATGTCATCGCACTAGTTAAAAAAATTAATCTGTGGGCCTCATTTGCTAGACAATCCCAAACACTACATATTTACCTGCTAGAAAATGCATAATACACAAACCTGGTGCTTTGTCGCAATATATTATCTAGAATTTACGTCACATCTGTATCACCAAACAAGGTGCAAGCATTATATTATTAAAATGTAAACTTCTTGGTACTGTTTGCTACTAACAAACAAAGAAAAAATACGTTGTGTTCCAAATCAATTGGATTATTTTCTGTTCTATAGCGAAGTTATATGACATCACTTTTGAGAGAAACGCGAGTCCCAGCTCTGGGGCGTAGCCGGGGAGGGATTCAAATGACCACCCCAACATTCAAAAGTCTAGAAGATCTTTCAGCATGCTTAGACGGTTGGAAAATTATAGAACGTATTCGATGACAAACGATTTTCATCACTTTCCCATAAAGTTGCTTCTTGATTTGAAAAGGCTTACTCAAGAAACTTACAACAGAAGCTTATTACTGTAATTAAGCTAAGATCCTCTTTGTTCTACTCTCACAAGTTTAGATTACTTCCGTTTTACAGGCCTCGTTTAGGCTAAGGCCGCTAGGGTAAATCACTAAAATTTTCTGCGTAGCAGAAAAGGTTCATATAATTATCTAGTGCTGGCTATGCCCCGGCTAGTTGTTAGCTAAATTCCTAATATTGCAGACTTGATTTTTTTAAATATACCTTTCACTACCGGTGGGGTTCACATATTACGTTATTTTGGTTGTTACAAAACCCACGATATAACACTTGGCCAAAATGGTTCGTGAAATCGCTCAGTTTCTACACAAGATACACAGGCCCCCTTAATTATTGCGAGAATAATTCCAATACTGATGGTATTTTTGTTCACATGTTTTTGTGATTATATTCAATCAGGGTTCATGTAACCAACAATGTCATGGGCCTTACAAGCAATTTAGTGCATAAACATAGTAGTCACTGTACAACAAGCGCAGGAGGCTACCACTCCAGACACCACAACAAGAGATACTGTTTCGCACTTAATACATAACTAACGCCCAGCGTTTTAATATTCCAATTTGGAAAAACTTTTATTCTTGCAAAAATCGATACACAATAAAGCATTTTGTAATTCCACTGTTTTAAATTCAAATAAATGCGATCTTCATTACGACCGTATGTGCTTTTTTTTGTGTGTGTGAGGTAATTAATCAGCATAAATTCATTTCGTAATACCAATAAAAAATAGCCGTATCATTTAGCGGGAAAAGACCCGTAACATTTTCTAAACAAAGCAATGTATGGGAATGGCCTCTGAAAAAGGCGTGTATAATGTGAGTCACTTTCCACCATGTGAGGAGTCATCATTGGGGCACAGGTCGCACGAGAAAGTTGTCTATATCTCGCAGTAGTGGCGTGGGCGTTTAAACAGCCCTTGGCTACAGCGCGTGCCATGAACAAAAAAGCTATAGAGGATGTGATTTCGACCAGATGACAAGAGGGTTACAATTTATACAGGTAAATATGACGTATAAAAATGATTCAGACTTGTGGGGTTAGAAACAAAAAAACCCATAAAGCAACATCATGGGTGAATTAAATCATAACGGAACCTAAGGGATTATATTTTAATAGGTGAATGTCAAAATTTGTCTTTATATTTGGAGCTCAAGCAAACATAATTTTGCATGTTACACAACGCGCTATTGAACATTTAAATTCCCTCACAAGCCTGTAGACATTAACGTAATGCCGTCCGATTCTTTATTGTGTTCGGATACCTCAAGGCCAACCAGATGAACATCGGATTACATCGTGTACAACTACTACTATAATTCTTAACAAGTATGCCCCGTGTAATTTACACATCACGTGATGCCATAAAAGTGCAAGGGGGAAGAAAAGGACCTTCTCTGTACTAAATGTATAGATAAACTTTATGGGAATTTCGAATTAACGTTACCAAAAACGTTTTTATTTGTTACTGGTTAATATCTATTGATTTATCAGAGCACTCTCCAGACCTCCAGCGCAAACAAATGCCCTGCATAACTAGACGATGACGAGGTAGAGGACATCGCTCTTAGGAATTTTACGTTGTAAAAACTAACACCTGGTGTTGCAACTACAATCACGGAGCCGTCATTCTTTCCAAGATGCAACACCAGATTAGATAGCCACAGGTGCGCGTAGCGCCCTCTATGCGCAATTCTTTAAGGTTAAATTTTCCAGTGAAATAAATATTCCCGTTATTGGAGAATTAGGATCAAATGATGTTTCGCATAAACACAAAACAAACAAAGCTTGTTTATTCTAAAAAACATAAAGATTCATTTAACAATTGACATATTTATTATTCTATTTCGGGTGATGTGTAAATACAAACATTATAAAGTAAAATTATAAAAAAAAAGTAAATAGACCCGTTCAAACGTCATAGATAGCGATCAACAACACGACGTCACGCGCCCACCCACGAGGCACTTAATACAAAACTTTTCTTGCCGTATTTGTACACTGATAAATCACTCATTTTCAATTATCACAACAGTTAGAGTCATGCACTACGAAAATGTCAACGTTGCATTTATTTTGTTAGATAACACATCCTTTATATATACATCGTTTACATAAATGTAAGAATAAAATAGGCTGATGCAATTTATTTGTTGCTACCGTCGTACCTTAAAACTCCGCGTGTAAGCAGGCGTTAAATGCGTTGATCCATTCGTAAATTCTGTATCGTGTCTTTAAGACTTTCGTATAACTAATGTTAACATTTAATAAGTTCCCATAGTTATCTAAGGAAAAACCTATCCCCTAATGCTTTAATACCAAGAACAGCCTACGTATACCTTTCAATTTTAAGAAACTTTCTCTGGACCTGCTCAAGAACTCGTTCCCAGAAGGAACCACCCTTTCATTCTATGCCTATTTTTTTTTCTAAGCGAACAACGAGAGGGGGCAAGAATTAGAAAATAAACGTAAAGAGCGTCAGTATACATAAACTAATTTCTGTTTGTAACATATACGATTATGTTTAACGAATTTCCATATAATTGTTGTTTTAAATACTCACAAATTCTTGCTCCACGGCCTCCGCGTGGTTTTTGGCGGATTCTGTAACCTCCACCACCTTCGATACGAGTTCTTTCGCCGTAAAGGGCGGGAGATTCTGCAAATCTGAGTCAGGATCCAATAAGTGGTCCGGAAGGCCACATGGATTCACCCACCGTGGCCTTTCTCCAGATCCGAGAGGAGCACTCATTGCCTTAAAGGGGACCAGACTAAGGACGCACACAAAGAAAATGCTCTGTAAATCTGAAAGAATCAAGATAACAAAAATAAATAAATACTTTAAATACATAAACCACAATTCAATTTAAAAAGGTATTAAAAGGCTATTTTTCTTATATATTTCCTACTTTTTCTGGTTTATCACACCGAAGTTTTGGTTAAACTATAATACAACTGCAAAATGCACGTGGCTTCAAACGTAGTTCGAGATGAAAAATTACGTGTACTTCACTCCTGCTCAGAGCTGTCAGTCCACTAAACCCTGCAATACTACCGTCGCTTACATTCAAATCGCCGAGAGACACACGTGAGTGAAAGAAGAAAAAACCTACTTGACAAGGCTAAGCAATCACTTTTCCTTCTGTGATTAGACGAAAGGATCGACCTGTTGCTTGGTGTGTTCAAGTGACAATTTATCATTCCGACTGGATATAGTGAGCGAATGTCTAAGAAAATGAGGAGCTACGAAGACTGACCGCTAGGTGTACATCAAGTACTCTCGAGTATGCTAGACAACCTGTTGCTTCGGTCCGGCCCGTTCGCCGGTTTTGAATGACTATCCATTCACAGAGAATTGCTTGTTGGCCAAATTCGATGTGGTACACGACCAATAATGAAACACATTCGGCAACTGCGGCTGCGCAGCGGTTAGGACATCCCCAAAGGTTACGCAGGCAGTTACCTGAAAATCCCGCCATTTGACAACACGTTCCATTGGCTCTTTAATAAGAATGAGGGCGGAGCCTAAAAAGTTGACGGATAAGGGCGTGTCAATCAGTGAATGAACAAAAGCGAGGTGACGTCACCTAGCAGATACCATGTGCAGATCTTACAGCGTGAGCAGTCATGCAGTTGACAAATACTTTCAGTGAAGGCACGACGCACAGAGTCTGGGAGGAGCGACCTACTTTGTTCCGAAACGATCTGTACGTAAACAGAGATCAATAACAAGGCAAGAGGTGCCACCGGATGCTGAGGTATGTGTAATAGCGACCCAGACACCTGTTGGATGTGGGGAAGTCTGCCGCCCTATCTGAAACGTTCCACTATCAGCTCTATATCTACCTCAGCAAACCTGCAAGTCTGCACGTGCGAGTCATCGACACGTCTCTTGCCTCGAGAAACGCGCTGGGTATTTTCTTCCTTTGATTACGTTTTACTGTGACTACGTGCAATGACTCTCGAGACGTTAAGCCAAACCAGTCTAACTAGCCAAACAACTTTATTGGTGAATACTGTACTCAGGTATGGACGTAGAAACACGTTTCTAAGCATGAACACTTGATCACAAAGACAGGGACTCAGTTTTGACAAAATAAAAATCGTGTATGTTGTCTAAATAGTAACTTTGGATTAATTTATCACTTAAATGATGTTCTGATCACCAAATGGCAAGCTTGTTTATATTTTGCTTTTTGAAATGCTGGCCGTTTTGGCTAAGTAGGGTTCTCGTGTGTCATGCACTGACAAGTACTACACTCTGGTGGTAAGTGAGAGTACTATATTGTATCAGCACAATCGAGTGACACCGCCAGAGTTTATTAAGCAGAAAAGATGTATAAAAACATCTCTAAAACTAGTGATATAACAGCGAATTTAACATCAAGTACAACCTGAGAGAAATAGCGTTTGACACATTTCGTTTATTCAAAACGTACGGCTCTAATATTGCTGGAAAGTATCTTTACACCTTTTCAGTATATCAAACAACAATAAGCTCGTTAATGGAAACAGCTCTGTGCATTCCAAGTAATAATAAAAGCTAGATTGTTGTTAACAACTTGCAATGTTAAATAATAACACGTCAAACCAACCTCCTGGCGAGATCTTCAGAAGTTTAAACTTCGCAACACACACACACACACTTTAGGAAGGTATATTAAATGTATCTTAGTTATACATCACGAAACACTATACACTATTAAAAACCTACGATATTATGTCACTTGGAATACTGTATTTCTTTATTCAAACACCATGTATAAAATATGTTCTACCACTAAGATTCTGAATTTCGAATTATCTATTGTTAAACCAACTGTTTAATAAATAGGTTACTCTGGTTGTTATAATCATAGGGTGGTTTTTAAAATTCCATTTAATAATAGTAACATTATTTTGTCAGCTATTGGCTCCCTGATTGCAGTATGTGTGTGTGTGTGTGTGTGTGTGTGTGTGTCGACTCGACTAACATCTTTCACATCACAGAATAATATATTGAATTTACACATCCTTTCGAAAGTTTAACAGTTTGTCTTCAACATAATGGAAGTTTGCAATACGTTTTCTCTCAAACTACATTTTCTGTTGTTCATAAAAACATTACACCGTACGGATATTATTACTCCACGGGTGTGAAGTACTGCTCTCTGTCTGTGCAATCCTTTTTAACAAACGACAAAGGACATAACCTTGACTTTTACATAACTGAAGCTAAACCCAAATCGATATTTTCCAGAAACTTCGATTCAACTTTCGTCTCACACACACCCATTATATATCCTACACACATCTGATTTCGGCTAGTAGAAAATGCAATGAGATTGAAAGAAATATACCGCACAAACAGACATGTATTAGCACACATTTTATTAAAAAATGTAGTAAATCATAAGTAACTTTTATATTTCGTACTTCAAACATAAGGATTAGCTAGAAGTACCTTTAAATAGCTATTGATAAATGGTATGGCTGCGAAAACCACACGATCACCGCAGCAGTAAATCGCCATTAAACGTTGTCAACCGGTCGACAATGACTACTTATCATCATGACCAAAACATTTATTTGATGATGTTCTTTTCCGCTTCGAATCTCTTGCTGAATCCTCCCTCAATTTTAACGAGATTTGTTAAATCCCCCCTAAAAAAAAAAAGAATTCTGTTTGTACTAATTTATGACAATTTTTTTATTTCACTCAGTATTAGTTATTATAGAACGTTCTTTTTTTCCGCTATCATCAGCAGCAGTAAAACAAGCAATAACACAATTTAAAAATGAAGGCTTAGCAAGTGAATGATGACGAATTTGATCAGGATGATTCCAGCACTGACTCTTCTCCCAGGAAGGATGTGCTCCCGAGAACAAAGCAGACTATAACGTTGTTGCACGACGACATAGCCAAAGAGCTCCTCCAAATTACTAGATCGGATTCTGGAATGTAACGTTCTCATAACGCTATCGAGGACTGACGCAGAATTTGTGGCTACCCTAATTTCTAAAGGTTATTTGACTAAACCGACAAGAGACCATCGTGCAAGTAAATATTGATGACTGTTTACCAGACAGCTACCAGCAGTAGTAGGTCAAGTTCCTGAAAGCCGAACATCTCACACTACTGCCCCATCTAGTCATATAAGTTCCTCAAAGTCGAACATCTCACTACTGCCCCATCTAGTTATATAAGTTC